CCCTAAAGTTTCGATTTTGGCGGATGGAGGTGATTTACCTCTTTATCATGAAGCGTGCATTTACCACGCACCCTCACGAAGCGTCTTCGTGACCTCAAATCAGTTGGCCGCTTCTTCCGGCCAAGCGAAGCCAGCAACTGCCAACAAGATTGTCAAGCTCACCAGGGTCTACGATTCTGAGCCGAATCTCGCCACCGGACCACACGTGACCAAAGTTGAGAATATCACATTCCCGGCCATAGCTGGTGCAATGCTAAACGGGGGTGTCAATTTGGATTCGGAAAGCATCCTTCTTTGCGCGCAGGGCTCAAGGGACCCGAAAGATCCATCGGGGATAATCAAACTTACGGTTCCACCCGTTGCCAGTGGTGATACAGTCTCTGAAACTGTGATCGAATCATTTCATGGAATCCCGTTCAATTCTGTCAACGACGTGATCATCCATCCCCATGATTTGTCTATTTGGTTTACAGACCCCCCCTATGGCTTTCATCAGGGCATTCGACCGCCGCCACAGTTGCCAAACCACGTATACCGCTACGATCCTAAGAATGGATCTATCCGAGCTGTTGCAGATGGGTTTGCTCGACCAAATGGGCTTTGCTTTTCACCGGAACTCGACACTCTATACGTGACAGATACAGGTGCAGTTCACGGCTCGTCGTCAGTGCCTCTGCACCAGACAGGTCCTTCACACATCTATGCATTCGATGTTGTCCTTAAAAGAGGCTTCTCTGAACCATTCTTGGCAAATCGCCGAGTTTTCGCTTATGCCCCGGGAAAAGTACCTGACGGAATTAAATGCGATACCCGTGGCAACGTTTATGCTGGTTGTACTGACGGCATCGAGGTCTGGGACCCTAGTGGTGTGTTTATTGGCACTATTAAAATACCCGGTGGGGTCTCTAACTTTTGTTTTGGGGAGAAGGGCGCTATGTATGCCTGTAATGAGAACAAACTTCTCAAGATACATTTTGATGGAGAGGTAAAGGGGGCACTCCTCGGCATATGAGCAATGTCAGAAACTGCATCTTTCGGTCTGTCATGGGGGAATATTAGGACGGAGCGTCTGCTCTTACCCGTCCAAGCTGTCAATCAATCTTTGCTCCCGAGCCCGCTTTGTCTTTGTACACAAGATTCGTAATTTAGTTAGGCTTGTAGTCTCGTATGTTGTGATTGGGCGAGTCAGCCACCTGACTCTGCTTTTTTATTCTCCCTTATCTTGTCATCTTCTTCTTAGCTTCTCTTCTCCCTTAGTATCATCCGGAGAGACTGCTTTTCCTGGTCTGTTTTTCAAATAGATCGTCCCCTTCGCCTTTGGTCATAGGTATCCTGTTTATGTACCTCTCAATGGGATCCGTATCTATACAATGGCTAAAAGCATTTGCTATCTATTTTTCTCTTTAACTCGTTCATTTTTTCCCCCTTCCTTCCTTATTTTAGCGAACAAAGCCACGTGTCTCCCCTTGATTGATCGCGTATTTACTCACTGGAAGGGGTCGTATGTTACACTAGGTTTTATATATTGTCTCAGGTATTTAAATTCGAATCGTGCAGGCTCAATAGTTATACCATAATTGAATGATGCTAACAAAAAAGAAAACACTAGAAACATACAGCAGCATATCTAAGGTGGTGGTCACCGAGCGCCCACGGTTCCGGCATAGGCGGCTCGCCGCTCTATTCTGGGCATTCAGGGCGGATATTCACCCACCTGAATATTCTTCACCCGATTATTCAGTCCGTACAGCAAAAGGTACATTTCCCAATTCCGATCGAAAAAGCTATAAGTAACATTTTTTCCCCTCCGCTTTCCTCCCAGACCGTCATTGACCATAGCCTTCGATCCCGCGATATCAGACGGGAGGAGGTGTATGTGGCAGACAAAACTGGACTCCAGGGACGGTTCGAACAGGCCGTCGGCCAAGTTCTTGGAGCGGTCTTCAGGGTGGAGGAGGTGGACATTCGCTTTGCTGACTCTAAGTCAGCTGGCACTGGCTACAACAAGACACCGGATATTTCTCTTGTGTCACGCACGCTACCAGTTACCCTTAAAGCCCTGAGCGAGCTGAAAGTCCCTTGGGTTGAAGAGCACTGCCTGGAGGACCAATACCAGAGGGTGCAATCTTTGTGCGATACGCTTGGACAAGTTGTGGAGTACCTGGTTGACCTACGGGTGCCATATGGGTTCCACTCCACCTATCAAGAGACCATTTTCTTGCGCTAAGTCGAGCTCAATGGAGCCTGGAGGGTGGAGTACTCGCCCGTTATCGATAACGACACCTCTGCGGTTTCAGTGAAGCAATGCTTCTGGTACTTCGCATCACTGGCCACTGAAGGGCAACCTGTCCAATGCCACACCCCAAAGCACCAATTGATCGCATATCGCTGATGTCTTCGTTCGTGGTGTCTCTTACTTCGTTGAAATTCTTTTTTTGTCTTTCTTTTTGCGCCTTTTTTTAATTTTTTCTTTTGCATTTTCTTTTTTTGCATGAACTCGCTTTTCGTGCTTTCTTGCCGTTCTTTTGCGGCGTAGCTCTAATGTCTAATATCGTAAATATCTAAGCCGTAATTTCCTAGAGAGTAGACTTTTTCCTGGTTATATATAGAAAAGCGTCAACATGGTTATAATAGATAGTTTATGATGGGTATTCGCACGCCGCGATAAGGGTTTATAGGCCGTAAACGGGGCCGTTAAGCATTTTAGCCTCCCCCTAAGGGGGTATGGGGAGTGTAGAGTAGTTTAGTAGGCATATATTTTAGTAGCTAGTTTAGCACCTTAGCAGCTTAGTAGGTTAGCTTAGTAGCTTAGTTTAGAATGTTACTTTAGTACCTTAGTTTAGCAGCTAGTTAGGTAGCTAGACCAAAATCCCAAATCCGAGACACCGTTTGGAACATTTTGATAAAAGCAAAGCAAACTCTGGGTGTATGACACGTCCAATCCTGCTATTCAATCACCTCGGTACCTAACGAGGTCCCTTTTTTCAGATACTGGCCCGCTACTGTGGGGGACTACTGGATCAGGTATCGAAATCCGTCCAAGGACGAACATGAAACGCCTTTCTGTTAGAGAAAATAAGTTCCTAATGGCTAGAAATGCAGACAGATTAATTAGATCCAACGAACATGGTCGATACCTACGTTTGATTTGCATGGCTGCAATACAAGCAACGTACGCAATGAAGGTTCAAAAGCTCGGCTTGCTGAAAGATTTAGAGAAGAAGAGTAACGTGGAAGGGAGAGAGAGAAAGAAGATGGATGTGAGAGAAGCTGTCAGTACTTCTAGGTACCTTCAGCATTACTAAATTTGATCACTTCTTTTGAAGCGTTGCTTGATATATGATGTACTTTTGTTACTTCTTCCTTCGGGATTCTATAATCATAACTTTAATGACGAACACTGGTGCCTGGGTCAGCCCTGTTGCAGAAGATGTACTGTAACCTGGATAAGATCTAGGCTGTGTTTGAGTAGTACACTGGGCAGGATTGGGAGTCTGGTTCTCGGACTTTGTTGGAACGCGTTCGGTAGGATGGGCCAAGCAGCAATACACAAATGAACCTAGGCGAGTTAAGGTAATTTTGAGAATTCCACAGATTGCCTTTTTGGATAATCAATTGCATTCCCTAGTGGGACTCACTGATGATGTGACAGAGGGCCTGCGAAGGTCAGTGTGAACTCATTTGGGTATGTCATTTGAACTGAGTGCTCCACAGACGCGTGAGAAAGCTAACAAGCCTAGACGCGACGATTCTAGTATCCATGTTATTACTAACGAGGCATCTAATTACCTCGCCAGTTGGAACCAACACAAGGAGTCATCCAATCGTCACGCTGCCACACAAGAGATCCAGACAATGAAAAGGAATTCATCATCCCCTTGGCCTTCCTTGGGATGAGACATTTTTTATTCGGATCCGATACCTCAAACCACGTGGACTGGGAATAACGCCTACAATAATATTGTAGGCATGGGGCTACGACCTCAGATTTGCGACTCCTCGTTTCGGCAAAGTGTCCGATCTACGAAGGTGTATAGCGCTCAGGGTTCAATATGGCCTTAATGGCTCAATTATGCCTGAATTCAGACCGCTTCCATGCATTTCTATACAGTGTATTGTGACCCATTCGGCACTGAATAACTAGGCCTGACCGACCTAGATGAAGCGTTTTCATACTATAACAGTAGCCGGCCGTATGATTGGCCTTGTCATGTCTTTTTGATTGCTCTTTTATATGTCCTTTTAAATGTCTTTTTTTAAAATATTTTCTCCCCTTTCTTAGGTTCGTAGGTATATGCGAGAAAATGTGGGAAAAAAACTTAATTTGTGAAATGAACTTTTCTATAAACCACCTCTGTTTGAGATATATAAAATATAGCAATATATAGAATCCTCGGATTCAAGGTGGAACCATCTAAAAAAGTGGTGATGCATAAATTTGTATAGTGTAAAAAAACTTCATTTGACTTTGGCGGCACTTTGCTCATTAGAAACTTGGGAATAATAATACAATTATTCATATTTTTCTGCCAGGACAAATTCGGGAATGCAGGCACTAATTTCTGGCTTTGAACCTTGAGCGCTATACATCATCGAGTAGTCCGACCAAATTCTCAATCCGAGACACTGTTTGAAACATTTTGAAGGAAACTCTTGGTGTACGACACATAAAAAGGTCCTCTGTACGGTTTACACCTACCACTGCCTTCGTATATCGTACATATGCAGTCTACTCCGTGCTATTATTCATTATCATTGAATATTACAGCACCGAGAAGAACAATAATCTAGAAGTATGAGAGTACGTGCTAAACTGTCTAAGTGTCCGTGACTCTTAATAGGTCTGTGCTCTGGTCTCCATGGGTTTTTGCATGGCACCAAAGTTTAAATTGACCGTACAACATTGAACTTTGTCGTCATTTCCATCGTCACCTTGATCCAACCTTCTTACGCTTTCTCATCTCTTACCATCTCCCCCTTTCACGCTCACTGTGCCCGAAATGGAAGCTCATCCAGTTCTTCCCAAGATGATTGGTGAAACGATCACCACACCCTCCCCGAACCTTCCGGACTCTACTCTTTATCCCCGTCGCGACTGGGTCATCATCGAAAAGCTGAGTGAGCATCCACGCCCGGTTACCCCCAAAGATTTTGACGATGGAATGGGCCCCGCATACACCGCTGGAAAATATCTTTGTCGCCTTGCAGGTTCCAGAGGCCATAACAAGCTTGCCTTTATGCGCATCTACAAACAAATTCCTCTAGCTGCTGGCACTGAACTTGACAACTCGAGCGTTCGCAAGGCACAGGCCTCCAAGCCACGAGACCACGTGGAGCTCCATGCCTTGAAGCGTCTTACAAAGAACAGGTGTACTGCTACCCCCAAACTCCTTGAATATCAAATTGACAAGCAAGACGAGAACGACCTTGCCCCCGGCGGATATATCATCCACCTTGTATGGGAAAATGTCTGAGGATATTATCCTCTTGACATTGAGGAGTTCTGGAGCCTTCCCTACAGCCGACGAGAAAGCATCCGCAAGAAGGTCAAAATGGCCTGCACGTTTGTTACTGAACAGTTCGATTATGGTCACGTACTTATAGCTGAGTGGAATTAGGGAAGTTTTGAGGTTTGGGTACGAGCTGAGCCAGACGACCGCATCAAAGATCATACTCAACAAGACCACAGATGATGTGTATTTTCCACTCTATCTCTTGCAATCTCAAGCTAACGACGCACAGCAAAGTCTCCGGTTTCAGGCGGGCTGACCGCATCTCCCCAGACACGAAATGGGACGACTACAACTTTGTGAGATTTTTGCTAGTTCTCAACTCCCCGGCCCGGTACAAGTACCTTTCCATCAAGGCGAAGGATCTCAAAAGTGACAAAACAGTCGCTGGGAGTGGTGAGAAGGAGGATTGATGCCCAGAAGGAACCAGAGGGCAATCCCTGGCGCTTGGTCTCATGCGTTTGGCCAACTAGCTTAAAAAAATTACTACCAAGATCTATCAACAACGTATCTCCCTAGCTCCTCCATATATTAGGAAAGCCTAACCCCACTAGGATCCCTAACCAAAATTCCCTCGGTCAAATTAAAAAAACAATTTGCACACCGAGTTCAGACTTTGAGGCACCTATGTGGATTTTGGACACATCACGCTGTAGTATATCTACACTGGCTAGCTGCCATAGCATAGACATGTCTTGGAACTGCATAGACCCACCGCATACCTAAATTTGATGGGCCTCTACAATGTATATCATGCGCTACAGCTACATGGCCTATGAGGGATGCTGGACCTCGCAGTCTATCAGTGGGTGATGTCTATCAGTGGGTAATTGTCGAATGAAATGCACATAGTTAAAATGCACATAGTTTATTATATCAGTTATCTTAGTAAGAGAATCCAGCCTGAACATTATGCGTGAATGAACATTCGTCATTGTCGAACTGTTCAATATATGGAAAGCATCAGAGGAAAGCTGTGATTGTGGCAGCAACCATAGGAGCAGCTGTGATCAATACACCGGCAGGTCCAGCGGCCGCAGAACCAGGTGTTTCGGTTGCCGCGGGAGCCGTGAACGACTTCACTCCTCCAGTGACGTCCAACTTGTAGTAGCTGCTAGTTGCCGCCGAAGAGGTCGCCGTGGAAGAGGATGAAGAGGCGGTGCTACCTCCTCTTACGGTTCCACCCATGCTAGCGCTTATAGTGTAGCTGGCAGATTCGGACTAGGATTTGAAAGAGTAGTTATACGTTTCGGTGACGGTAATATCGTAACCGTGTATGCCTAAACTAGTGGCGATATATTGTGCGGCGAGGTTGACGGTCTCGGGACCTTAGGTAATCGTCCACGAAGTGGCAATATCGTAGTCTGATTTAGCGACGCCATCTATATGACCGACATAGTATGTAGTGGCTTTAATACTAGTAACTCTAGTAGTATAGCTGGTAATGCCGGGGAGGTTATTATCCCACGTAGGGGAGAAGATTCTAATAGTGGTGCTAGAGCTGGGATCCTTAGCTTAGACACCGAGTGATGTAAGAAACGTAGCGGTAAAGATAGAGGTACGTATACTGATGGTGTTTTCTTAAAAGTTCAGGGGGAAGTAGACTGCGCCAAAACCCACTGGTGGGTCGAGATCCCAAACCCAAACCCAACCCAAAACCCATCGTGGGTTTTGGATATTTAGGTGTAGAATAGTGGTGTTCATGGCATTTAGGTGAATGGGCTGAAGGGACTGAAGAGTAGGGCGGCAAGGGGACCTTCCAGGAAGGATTCAAAAACTAGAAACAAAAAGAAAAACATACAACAGTGAGGATTCGCTGGTGGTCACCCACCCAACTACTAACTCACCGGCGTGTGGCTTATGCTCGATCAATAGTTCGGTGGGTGTCGCCTGGGTGAGCAGGAGGGTGACGCCGCTTTTGATTGGCGTCACCCTACGCACCTAGGGTGAGTGCGGAATAGAGAGGGTGTGCTGAGGGTGCGCGGGTGTG